GGGGGAGAGGCGTTGGGGAGGGGGGGGCTGGGAGGCGGGGGTGTGCGAATGTCGGACACGGTGGGGCATTCGGACCGCCGGGGGTGGGGAAGAACGGGAGCTAAGGGGCTGCTCTGCTGCCAGTGCCCGATGCCCCGGGGGCAGAAGCGCGCGCCTGATTTAACGGTTCCCGCCGCCATGCCAGCTGCCGGCCTCAGTCCCTGACCCTCCGGCCTCCTCCTGACACCCCTCAGGCGGGAGGGAGTGGGGCCGCAAGGATCTCCGCGCCCACCTACCTGCCACAGCCAGAGACCCGCTTTCAGGAGGTGATGGTGGTGGAGGAGGGGCGGCGGCACCACTACGCGATGGAAGTCACCTTCTCTCCACCCCGCGGAACGGGCGTGAGGGGAGTGGACGCCAGTCGGTCGGCCAGCCGCCCCACCTCACACAGGCACTCTCACTCACTCGTTCGGCCGCCAACCTCCCCACCTCACGTCACGTGACGTCCGGCATACCCCGCCCCTTAGCCATCGTCGATTGGTCCAGTCCTGGCCCCGCCTACTGTCCGCTACTCTTCCTTGCGATTGGTCACACCGGCTGTCTGTCTCGTGGCGGGTGCGGGGGCGGGGTCCCTTTTTGAGGCGGGGACTGTGGCAGTGAGTTGGAGTGCTAAGGGAGTGTGACAATGAGCAGTAAAGTTAAAAGGCAAAAGCAAGAAGGAGGGGCAGACCCAGCCTAATTTCTCTGGATTAATCATCATCAGGATTTGTCATTGACAAAGACATCAAAGGAGAAATGGGGAACAGGCTCGAAGGGCTGAATGGCCTTCTCCTGCTCCTATTTTCCATATTGTTCTGTGTTCCTACCGAAATTCTCCTTCAAGGGGTAATGCCATCTTTGCACCCACTCTACCAATAAAATCTTAGAAACCCTACAGTGCAGAAAGAGGCCATTCAGCCCTTCAAGTCTGCACCAACCCTCCAAAAAGCATCTCACCCAAACCTGGCCCCTACCCTATAACCGTTAATTTACCATGGCTAATCCACTTTGCCTGCACATCCCTGGGCACTACAAACAACTTAACATGGTCAATCCACCTAACCTGCACATCTTTGGTCTGTGGGAAGAAACTGAAGCACGCTACAGAAACCCATGCAGACACAGTAAGAACGTGCAAACTCCACACAGACAGTTGCCCAAAACTGGAGTTGCACCTGAGTCTCTGGTACTGTAAGACAGCAGTGCTAACTACTGTGCCACTGCACCATTGCTTCAAGTCCCCTTAGAATCACGTATGTTTCAATAAAGTTGCTATACATTCTTCTAAGTACAGGAGTAGAGCTGCTGTCGTCGTTCCATGTAACCAAAGTCCCTCATCCCTGTTCCCATCACAATAAATCAGCACCACATTGTCATCATGCTTTTTATTAATTTGTGGTGTTTGGAAATTACTGAAATGGTCAGCATTTATTACTCAACCCTAATTCTGAGGAAGGGTCACTTTACCCGAAACGTTAACTCTGAATTCTGAGGAAGGGTCACTCGATCCAAATGATTAACTCTGATTTCTCTCCACAGATGCTGCTGGACCTGCTGAGCTTTTCCAGCAGTTTCTATTTTTGTCCCTAATTACACCATGACATCCTTATTACAGGATTGTCTGCAGAATTTGATGCAATACACTAGCTAGAACTACTTGCTGACACTGGTAAAAGAACATCCATTCATAGGAAATTTTATCTGCCACACTAATGGCAGCACATTTTTAATGAAACCTGAGGAGTGTTACTGAAGGAGTGCTGCCCTGTTTGAGGGAGTGCTGCAGTATCGAAAGAATCCATCTGCAATTGACCTTGATCCAAATGGCTCACTAGGCTATTTCAGTGGGCACTTAAGAGTCAACCACTGATTCAACGGACACCAATATATTCCATCTAAAAGATGCATTGTGACAACTCAACAAGGCTTCTTAGGCAGCATTTTCCAAATACCTCAACTTCTGTGCTCAAGAAGGACAAGGACACCAGATACATGAGAACTCCACTTCCTGGAAGTTTCCTTTCAAGCCCCATAGAATCCTGACTTGAAAATATATCGGTTAAGTCTTCACTGTGGTTTTTCCCATTTATGACATGTTGTAACTCTAACATTCCCTCTTTGAACATCTCCACATCTCTGCCTTTCTCTCCTTCTTTGAGATGGTCCTTATAACCTGCTTCTCTGACCAAACTTTTGACCGTCTGCACTAATGTCTCTTTACATAGCTCTGTGTTCAATTCCTATAAAGAGACTTGGGTTAAAATTGAGCCTAATATCTCCCTGTCAACAATTTGCCAACTATTAGAATAATCCTTCACCATTTTCTCAAGTTGTTGAATCTTTTCATGCAAAATGTGAAATTTGAGATTGTTTGAAATTTGGCATTTTTGTGTTCGTCCTGATAAATTCAAGAGGAATACCTTTGGCAGTATGTGTCTGTTTTTAGCAACTTTCATTTTATTATTCAGTTATGGAATCTGGATGTTGCTGGCTGCACCAACATTTATTGCCCATCCCTAGTTGCCCTTAGGAAAGTGGTGATGAATAATCTTCTTGAACCACTGCAGTCTATTTACTATAGGTAGACCCACAGTATTTGATATATTCTCTTCCATACCTCTCAGTGCAAAAGTTACACATTTCCCAAATAAAGTGAGAAATGGAAGCAGAAGGAGGCCGTTTGACTCTTCAAGCCTTTTTTTCCATCCAATAAGATATGCCTGATCTTTTCCCTCAATTTACCTTCTGCTCTAAACCCAAATCCCCTAATTTCCTGAGTACACAAAAATCTTAATGATCTCAGTCTTGAATATTATCAAAGACTGAGTATTTAAAGCCTTTCAATGTTGCTGAACATGTTGCTGAAACTGTTCATTTTGCACTCATCAGGACAAATGCAAGAATGCCAGGTTTCAAACAGTTATAATGATTTATATCATGGAGAAAAGGCTCTGATTGATCAGCTAATTTACTCCATTTCGCTAATGCATTGCTGTAAAGAAAGCAATGAGGGACTAATGGCTCTCCATGCTAGTGTGCTGTGATTACTTGAAATTTGTCAGTCTTGTATCTATCCTGATGTGTGTAAAATGAAAAACCTGGACATCTCTCTCTTTTCAGTGATATTCAAGTTCTGAAGTACCAAGTGACTGATAAAAATGCTACTTAAATGCAAGCTGTTGTCACACCACTGTGATTTAAGTAAGTGATCACATTACCTTTCTTTCACGTCCTAATCAGCACTCTGAAAAATGATATACTGTTTGATTCAGAGCATTTAAATTTGAATTACTGCTCATAGGCAGCAGAATATGAGTAGTATATTTACCAGTCCTTTTGGCTAGGATTATAAGGCCTCTCCTATGTCAGAACTTACATCATTCCCGGAAATCTGTTCATGCACTGTTCTCCTTACTTTAAATTTAAGTGTGGAATACAGTGAGTTCTAAAAGGATTAGATATGGAATTTTGGATGGTTTGAGTGAACCATGAGGATATAAATTATCCTAGGCGGTTTGGAGCCATAGCAGCAGAGTTCAGTGACATTTGTGAATGTAATTCAAAGCTTGACCAATTTTGTAACCTCAGCCTTACCTATTATCATTTACAACACTCAGTTGTAATTTATTGAATAAATTCAACACGTAGATAAACATATTCCTGAAAGAGACTTAAAGACAGTGAGAGGCAGCATTGATGACATTTTCGTTGCAATAACATTGCCCCCTGTTTCACAGGACAGTACAGTTGTGAATAGAATTGTGAATAATTGCTGTGAAAGAACAATCACATGAAGTTGTTCTTGCAGGCATTCAAATGACTGAATTTGACCCTGAAATGAGACTTTTTCTTGTAATTACTATTCACCATTTGTTCCTTTTCATTGATGCTATATTTTTTCAACAGGTTTTCCCCTGTCCTCTCCTAAAGACAGTATCTTTTTCTGTTTTTTTCTTTATTCTTTCATGTGATGTGGGCAGTGCTGGCAAGGGCAGCATTTCTTGCCCATCCCTAACTGCTCCTTGAAATTAGTAGCACTGAAATCAGTGCACAGTTAAGGATCAATCACATTGCAACGGGCCTGGAATCACTTGTAGGCCGGACAGGTAATGATGGCAGATTTCCTTCTCTAAATGACATTATTCAAGAAGTGTCTGTCTACAACAAACAATGATAGCTATTGGTCACTGTTACTGAGATTAGTTTCCAATTCCAGATTTTATTAATTGAATTCACATTTCACCAGCTACTATGGTGGGACTCGAACCCACCATGTCCCCACAACATGAGCCTGAGGCTCTAGGACTACTAGCACGGTGACATTGCCATTGCATCACCATCTATCAGTTATAAACCAGCATTGAGTTTATTAGCACAGGTACGGCATTTGAAAACCCTTCTGCAGTTAACTTACCCATTATAGGCCTCAGGAAATCCTTAATATTTGTTGTCAATAAAATACTGGTGAAGAGTTGTCATTGTCCTACATTATAATGGAGACTGCACCTTTCATGTAATGTTACATTCCTTGACATTCTTCTCTCAGTGTTAACTATGCAACTGAGTTTTTGTGTGGGTTATAATTGAACATTATATCTCTCTGTCAACAATTTACCAACTATGAGAATGATCTTTCACCATTTTCTCATGTTGTTAAATCTTTTCATTTTGCATTCATCTGAATAAATTTAAAAATGTGAAATTTGAGATGGTTTGAAATTTGGCTTTCTTGTGTTTGCCGGTTTCTCTTTTCAGTAAAATTTTTTTATTCATTTATGCAATTTGAACATTGTTGGCTGTGCCAGGACTTATTGCCCATCCCTAGTTGGGAAAGTAATGGTGAACTGTCTTCTTGACTGCTGTAGTCCATTTGCTGTAGGTAGACCCTCAATGCCAATAGGGAGGGCAAGCCAGGATTTTGACGGGCCTCCAAAAAATTTAATTATATTCTCTTCTATATCCTTCAGTGCAAATGCAACAACTTTTCCAAAGAGAGAGAGAAATAGAAGCAGAAGGAAGCCATTTGACTCTTTGAGCCTATTCTTCCATCCAATAAAGATTATGGCTGATCTTTTCCCCTCAACTTACCTTCTGCTCTCTCTCCAAATCCCTTAACTCACTGAGTACACAAAAATCTATTAATCTCAGTCTTGGACATTAACAAAGACTGAGTATCCACAGCTCTCTTGAGCAGAGAATTCCAAAGTCTTGCAGCTCCTTATGCAAAGGAGCCTTTCTTTAAAACATTACAACCTTGGTCTCATTCTAGCAACTCCTCGTTACGAAATTTCAGTGGCTTAAGTTTCCTTCCCCTAATAGGAATGAAGCAGAACACTGCATGAGGCTTATTTTTCAACACAGCATGATCATTCACCTTGTCATGAACATTACCTGATTTACTTAATTTCCAAATAAAATTGACTCACCATGGATAGGGCTTCAAGGAAGATGAAAGCTGTGTGAAATTTCACCTTG